GGGGGGGGGGGAATCATCGATCAGCTGCCTCCTGTACACCTCCTACTGGGGATCAGGCCTGCAACCTTGGGCATGTACCCTGACCAGGAATGGAACCATGACCTCCTGGTTCATGGGTCAATGCTCAACTACTGAGCACACCAGCTGGGCAGACATTTTCTTTTAAAAATTAGTTTTCATCCTAGCATCAATGATTTATACTTTATGTGAGAAAGAATAGTAAAGTGGAACTTTATTCCAATGATCTTGTCAAATGTGACAATTTTTTACAAAAATCAAAACATACATATGAAAGTTTACCTAGTTAGGTGCAAGTACTGTCTTTACCCTAGCCAACTTTTCCATCACCCTGTTGTGAATATTTGTTGCCAGCTGTTCTGGGTGTAAGTGGCTAGGGGGACACCTGTATTATATTACCTAATGTTTGACTAAATATAGCCAGTTCTTGATCTTCTGAAGGTAAACTATTGGGCTGTGGATTTTTATTTTTTTTATTTCTTGGATTCACTCTTTGGTTTCTCTAACTTTTGAAGTCATTAGGATAAAATATATTTATTTACATTTCCCCAAGCAAAAGATTTTTGTATTTATATAAAATTTATATTTTTATAAATTTGAAAATTAAAAATACCTATCAAGTTGTGGGTTCAATCCTGGTCAGGGCATGTACCTGAGGCAACTGATTGATGTTTTTCTCTCTCCTCTCTCTTCCTCCCTCCCTTCCTCTCTCAAAAAGTCCTCAGATGAGGATTTTAAAAAAATCCTGATCAAGTGGGCAACTGCTGTATGCATGCGTAGCACATCTTCATACTAATTTAATCCTTTTAATAGTTATGTAAAGTAGCCATAGCCCCATGTTGCTGATGAAAGAGGCTCAGAGTTTGAGAGCGAGGTCCCGGATTGCACTGCTAGTATATGTTAAAGGTATGACTGGGACCCTAGTTGACTCCTAGCCTGGTCTAATTTTTTTTTTTTTTTTAAACATATCTTTATTGATTTCAGAGAGAGGAAAGGAGAGGGAGAGAGATAGAAACATCAATGATGAGAGAGTCATTGATCGGCTGCAGCCCGCAACCCGGGCATGTGCCCTGACTGGGAACCGAACCCTGATCGCCTGGATCCTAGGTCTACGCTTTTAACCATTGAGCCACACCCGGCCGGGCGCCTGGTCTAATTTTTACCATGTTTCCTCTCTTTAGAGATACCTAGTTTGTTTTTCAGAACTAAACCAATCTGGAACTCCCTGGCTTTTTCTCTTCAGACTGAAATCTAAAGGGATCTATTTCTTGAGAGCCTCTTTTATGTTATAGGCTAGTCTAAGAAAAGTTTTCCTTACTCAAAGGAGAATTAAGCTGTCCAGCCAGCTGTCTCAAAGTTTGGGAAGCACTGGCTGGATACCAAGGCCCCAGGATCAGAAAGGGAACAAACTGAAATTGCTAATGTGTAAGCATGGTCTTTTGTGCAGCTCAGTTGAAATGTTTGGCAGGAGGACTTTAGTGAGAGACTAGAGTGGACTTGAGGATCATTTGTCATCACAACCCCCATTACTATAGGTAATTCAAGAGTCTTTTGCCCTGAGAGCAATATGCTAGTCAAGTGTTTCAATATTGAAAGTGTTGATAGAAACTCTTATTTCACACAAACCTCATCAAAGAATATAAATGCAATAAATATAGTAAAATGTCAGTGCTGCCCTAGCCGGGGTGGCTCAGTGGTTAGAGCATCAGCCAGAGGACTGAAGGGTTCTGAGTTTGATTCTGGCCAAGGGCACATACCCAAGCCTTGGTCAGGGTGTGTGCAGGAGGCAACCAGTGGATGTGTTTCTATCACATCGATGTTTTTCTCCCCCTTCTACTCTTTCTGAAAAGCAATGGAAAAATATCAAGTGAGGATTAAAAAATAATAAAAAATAAACAAACTGCCAGTGCCTTTGAAAGCAGAATTCAGGAAGTCATATACCTCAAAGTAAATTAAATAATGAGAGTTACTTAAAACTATTTGTATATTTTTTAAAACTGGACTGCCTTTGTCTCCTAAGAGTAAAATGTACCATTTTTTCTGATGTAAATATTTTTATAAAGTCTATCCAAAACTAATAGTAGGGGAAACAAGATTCTTATACATAAATCCATCTTAAGAAGAGGTTCTGAAATTAGAGGTTATCACTGCTGCATCCTAGTGCAATCAAAATGAGGCTTCTGCTCTGTACTATAAAGCCAGAGGGCAGTGTTGCTGTCCTTCCACCAAGCAGCCGGGTTTCTGGGACTGCTGCATGATGTCATAGAAGAAGAAATATTAAAAACACGAAGAAAACTATTTCAAATTAGACATTTAATGTAAATTTTAGGCCAAAGGAAAAACTGATCATACATTGTCTCCCATGGTCCATCTACCAGAATAGGGCAAGGGAACAGCTCAGTCCAGCTGAGGGCCCTGAGTCAGTCTTGACCTGCATAATTTCCTTTGATTCATTGATTTGTATATGCTCCTTATACATCATAAGTTCCCACCCCCTCCACTATTTCATTTACCTACAAAAGGAAGCTTCATAGTAGGAGGCTTTTTTCCCTTTCCTGCAGGGGTTTTTAAACCAAGTTTGACAACCTTGTGAGTCTCTTGAACCCTTTCCCTGGAAAAATGTACATGTAACACAAGTCTGCATATAAATTTATGGGGTTTGTGGGCCCCAAGGCCCCCTATGGTTTCTAAGGCCCCAAGTTAAAGAACTCCTGTGCTAGTGATCTGAGTAGTACAATTGCCCTAAGGAAACAGGGCAGGTGTAGATGGGCTGACAGGAGGGAACAATCATAATTTCTTACTATTTTAATTTGGGCGCAGAAATTCCCAGGGCCTCCCTGCATTTTCAAGAGCAGAGCTATTCAAGAATTGCTGCTACCAGCGCAGTTTAGGAAACTGAGAATAGCAGCTATACAGGGAATATGTGCAGGGTTCCCGCTTGGACCCCAAGGAGTTAGTTCTTTAACCAGAAGCTTTATACTTGACTTGCAGTGAGGGGGCATTTCTAATTTTAGTCAGCCCTCATGGAAAGGTGGATAGCTCCTATTCCTTTTTGGTGTTGGGAGCACTTACGTATTGGACAATTAGGGTAAGTTCTTAGAATGCCCTAAACAGTCGTTTCCTCCGTAAGTCCAATATCCCCTACCTCTAACATTTTAACATAAAGAGCTGCCCCGAAAGGTTATCCAACCATTGCTTGCGCTAAGCAGTAGGTTTACCAAGAGCCTCTTCCAGGCATCCAGGAACTCCTTCCAGCCTCAAAGGGGAAGGGGTGGGGGAGATGGAGATTACTAAAAACCTACTTGTAGGAATGAAATGAGGCTGTCAGTTGTCTAACAAACTGCCAAATTAGATTTATATTTTTGTTTAATAGACTTATAAATGGCTACTGAGAAGCAGAATTAAGTTTTAAGCTTCTGAGTGTAGCTACTTTATACTCCCCAAACATCCAACACTGGCTTATTTCTCCAACATCAGGAAAGAAAACCAAGGCACTAGAAAGCAAGCACACTTAAATTTGAAGCTATTTAAATCTTTATATTTTGTCAACTATATATTGTAGCACACTAAGATTAATTCAAGGGAAAAGTCGGCAAATTGAAAATTCTCCCATTAAAGATTTTTTTCAAACTAATAAATTTAATGATTTCTTTACTCCCCCAGAATGTAATCGCATAGATCAGTACTATTTTTGAATTGGCTCTAGAAATCACACTTAAACTATGTTACATTTACAAATATTAAATTTATTATAACTAGAATGAATTTAATGGTTCTCAGATTTGGCCACCTTATAGATCCTTTTAAGGAGAGGATTTTTAACAGAAAAATGCATTGTAACTTGGTCAAATGACTTACACTTAAGAAAAAAAAAAAAACTTCTAAAAGGAAAAGTAATGCATCCCTCAGTTTCACATAATTAAAGAACAGGAGAAAGCACGCAAGCTACAACATAGCTAAATTTACCAAACCAACCAAAGCCGGGGGGATTTTCTTTTCTGATTATGTGTCATAAAAAGGTCCACTGTCTTATATACACATGTATATAATGTTACATTCCATCACTGTAAAAAGTCCCCTTTGCCCCCTCCCCCCCAAAGTTTCAGTCTAGTCTCCAAACTTGGACAGCGGTGCTCGCTCCTGCTGCCGGTGCAGTTCGTTCTCCGTCAGCAGCTGGAGGTTCTCGGCGCGCAGCCGGTCTAGCTCCAGCTCCAACTCCCGCACACGCGCGTCCTCGCCGCCACCCAAGCGCTTACTTTCCAGCCGCAGCCGGTTATTCTCGTCCTCCATGCGGGAGAGGCACTTCTCCAGCTCCAAGTACTCCTTGATAAGCTCCTGCTTGCTCATGTTCTGCAGGCTTTCCGCGTGGTACCGCTCGTAAGTCTCCGAGAAGTCCCGCTGCAGAAACTCGCTGCCGTCTCCTCCCATCCCGTCGCTGCCCCCATCCTCCTCGCCAGCCTCTTCCATAAACTCTTCATCGCTGGTGTCAGATTTGGCTGCAGCCCGCTTGGGGTAGAAGCCGGTTTTGAGATCCGGCTCCTCCTGGTCGTGATCATCCATGAGGAACTGCGTGGTGTTATAGGGCGCGACTGGTTGGCCCTTGGCGAACATCTCGGCTCGAATCCTCGAAGCTCGCAGGCTCTGTTTCTCGTCGAACTTTCTCTTCTCCTCCCAGGTCAGCTTGTAGTACGGTTTCCAATGCCGCTTCTTCTTGGAGGGGCGTCTCCTATGTTTTTTCTTGCCCAGCTGTCTCTGCTGCTGTTTCCACGACTCCTCACCTCCAGTGGCAGGAGCCCCCAACTTGCTGGCTTCGGAGTCGTGGCATGGCTGGGTGAGCGATTCATTTTCGGGCCTCGGCTCCCCTCCCGCCGCCTGTGGCGATGCTCCGCCAGCGGACAAATCGTCTCCATTCTGGCCCTTCTCGTCTGCTTCCAGGCAGCTAGGTTCTGGACAGACCTGGGTCTGCAAAGGAGGCAGCTGGGGTTCCAGGCTCCCTTCCCCCTCCTGCCCTGGACGGCCACCCGACTGGGGGGACGCTCTCGATTGCCACCTACTGTCCTCCTCCGGCACCGGCTCCTCCGCGCCTGGGGGGCGATCGGGGTTCCGCTCTTCATGGACAGCATCAGCACCTGTACAGTTGCTAGTTTGAGGTTGGTGCTGATATTCCGACACGAGTGGCTCGGCCATGGCTAAAAGAGTCCTCTTCTCAAAGTTTGAAGAATTTTGGCTGTTAAGTCCTTGAGGAAAAAAGGTTTTTCTTTTCTTGAAAAAAAAAAATGTCCAACAGAATCCACTTAGGCAGTTCCTGCTGAGACGCCTTTAGCTTGTCCTGTCAGCAAACTCTAATTGCAACTTGGGGGAGCTCAAGTCAGTAAAGGGTTAAGCGCCACAGCGCGACCAGCTAGCAGGTCCAAAGGGGTGCAGCAGCAGAAACAGTGCGTAATGTGCGGAGGGGGTCGGCCTCAAGCCTCCCCGCAGAGCGCCCCCACAATGGAGGAATTGGTGGGCTAGGAGATGAGGTTAAGTCCAATGGGTTAAACCCAGCCCCGAAGGGGTTAAAAGTACCCGATGACGCTGCCTCCGAGGGACCGGACCCACAAAGGGTTAAGTCCCCAGCCGCAGAGCCCACAAGGGGTTAAGGTCCCAGAGCCGCCACCTCCCACTTCCACGAGTGTCGCTCCAACCCGCGCTCCCAGTTCCTTAGGCCGGGCCGGAGCCTTATCCGAGGACAGACAAACTCATCTCCCCTTTGGCTCGATGCTCTGCTCAGCTCAGTTCTCCTCCGCCTCCTCCTCTTTTCCTCCCTCCCTCCTCCCCCTTCCGACAGCTCCTCTTCCGCCTCCTCCCCCAGCTTCCTCCCCCAGCTTCCCCTCCCAGCTTCCCCTCCCAACCTGCCTCTCCACCTGCCAACTTCCAACTGCTCCCTCCCAGCTCTCTGCCCGCTTTTATATAGAAGCTTGGCCACCCCGCCCATGCGCATGCGTAGCGGGGTCCCCATTGCTGGAGGCTGGGACTCGTAGTTCCCATCTTTCGGGCCCGCCGTCTTCACGCGCCTTGCGACGTAGCCAACCCCAGAACGCGTAGGGGGCGTTTTCCAGGCCACCTCCCTCCATCGCTTAGCCCTCGCTGGAAAAACGTGAGTGACCATTGGTCAACAGTCACACGTATCTCGGAGGAAGGCAAACCAATGCAGAAAAGGTGGGGCGGGCTCTGGACCATACCATTCTGCCTGAGGAATACGAGAAGATTCGAAGGTCTATGAGGGCCCACACAGAATATTTTAATGAAAAGGTGCGTCTTAAAGCATGTTATCGTATTCTGTCCTCAGCGGAATGGTTCTAAAGGTCATAAATATTTGTTAACTGTAGCAAAAAATGGTTTATTCCTAAAAAGTAGTTCCTAAGGTGTAAAAGAAAATTAAATCTTATAAAGAGAGCTGTTGGCCCACGGCTGGTAACTTTCGATTGTTAAGATTACAGAAATGGTTTCAAAGCGTGTCGGTAGTGCCTGAAACTGACGTTTGCGGATGGATATTGTGACACATTTTGTAAAAAAAATGAAAAGCGCATGAAGAAGTAAACAAATGAAAAATAAAAAGTGCCGTCTTAAAGGGACAGTGTGACTGCGTTAGCACAGCAACCTCGGACTAGGCCTCACAGGATGAGAAGGCAGGTTCGAGTCCCGAGTGACGTCTACCCTCGGACTGGCTTCCAGACCTGTGGGCGAAAGTGACCGAGCCCCAGCCCCAGTGTAGCCTTTCAGGGCTACCGCTGCCCCAGGGACCAGTGCAGAATGGTGGGCCGAGACAGCCTCTCTCCTCAGCCGGGATCTGGGAAGCGCTGGGCGGGCGCCAAGGACTCCTTGGAAACCCGGGGCAAAGAGGCCTCCCCGGGGCCTCAGCTTCTGTAGAAGAAAATGGCCTCTTAGGGCTGACTTGGTCTGTTCACTTCAAAGCCCACCAGGAGCATTTCTTGAGATGGACTGGGGAGTCCACGCCAGCAGATGAGCCTCGTTGTTGGGGAGGGGTCGAATTAATAATGAGTTTAAATAATCAACCCTGGCTCACTGAGAGAGAAGGGAGGTATCATCTACAGAGGCTCTTCCTTATCAGTGGGCCCTGGGCAATACTCGGAGGGAAGCAGAGCCAAAGGCTTCCTTAAGGAGGAGGCTTTACCCAAAAACGGGGACAGGGGGATTCTGGCCCAGGACTGTGGGTAGACT